AAACTACCATAAAATTACCCTTTCTGAAATATACTCAACCAGCCAAGGAGAAAAACCGGGCAACATTCTGCGTGACAGCAGAGCTCCCTTCAGACATCAGGAGAGATGCATAACAACTCTTGGGACGTCTACTAGCCATGGTGAGATAAAGGTGCTTTTCAGGTGGCTGTAATTTCCCCCTCCCCCTCCCACAGAGGCACAGTCCTTCTGGGGAGGGGCCTTTTCTGTCCCTCCCCTTGAGCCCCCCTGAAGGAAGAGCCCCCCACTTGGCCAGACTGAGAGCTCTTCTGTGCCCCGAATAAACCAACGGGGTAAGGCAAGAGGCACATCTCTGGAAGATCTGAGGTTTGTTTTCAAGACATCCTGTCCCTTATAATTATCTGACAGAACTCCCCACAGGAAAAGAGGTTTCCGCTAATAGGTAAAAATTAGGAGCCAGAATCTGGCCTCGACCTTCATCAGCCCCGACTCCAGGCACAGAGACCTTGAGGAACCCAACAAGGCGCCTGAAACATCACCTGGAGGAATCAGGGCTGGACACACTCCAAAGAGCCAAAGCTGGAAAATGGTCCAAGCTGCGCCCCATAAGTGAGCTGGGCCAAAGATTTAGCTGGGAATAATTTCAGAGCCGCTGGAAGGCAACATCCCCCCTGCCCCCCCACCACATTTCCTAGAAAGCAGTCAAGGCAACGTAGCTGGATGTGCCCTTCATCTACCTGAGGCATGAAATACTCCCCCTCCCCCAGGAATTTAAAGCAGGAAAATTGTACAATGTGCCAGTAATAAGTTTTAGGCCTTCTGGCAAACACCATCATTTTGTGGTCTGAGTACTTCATCTCCAGCTGAGGGTCCTGACAACATTGAGCCTGGGTTCACGATGCCTCCTAAGGCCAGTGGGGATCCCAGAGAGGATCGCAGCGTTGTCAGCACAAAGAAAGGTAGAAAACCCCTCAGCCAGCTCAGGAGGACAGGGATCTGGGCCATCCCTCTCTCCAAATGATCAACGACTGTCAATGTAAATGCTTAGATCAATGTTTCTCAAACTCAGCCACTTGGACTTCAGTGTGGACTTCAACTCCCAGAATTCCCCCTCAC